GCTCGACTGTGTGTTTATAAGTGTTTACAGAAAATTTTGTTCATTAATAATTTTGTTTGAAACTTAAACAATAGAAAACAAACGTTTCAGTAATGAAAACTAAAGTAGAACTGATGATAACGTATGTAAAATTGAACTAACAATTTGTCACCTATTTTTATGTAGGGGACGATTCCAGAGGTTCTCAATAAGTTTTGACAGTTTTGATTATTATTAGTACTTACCATTAAAAAATATCCCTGAATAATAAAATACTACTACTTCTATTTAACCGTTTCTTAAGATTTTCTGTACATCCTGCAATATCCTGTGTGAAGAGATTAATCAATCAATAATGAAAACTAAAGTAAAACTGATGAGATGATAACGAAAATTCATTTTCTGTTTAGTACAAAACAGGGGGCAAAAAAACGGATTGCGCCTATCTACGGCTACAATTCACCTATTTTATGTAAAGGGCGATTCCAAAGGTTCTCAATAAGTTTTAACAATTTTGATTATTATTAGTACTTACCATTAAAAATATCCCTAGTTAACAAAATACTCTGACTTTTATTTAACTGTTTCTTAAGATTTTCTGTACGTCCTGCAATATCCTGTATGAAGAGATTACTCAATCAATAATGAAAACTAAAATAAAACTGATGATAACGTAAAATTCAACTAGCAATTTTTCTGTTTAATACAAAACAAGGGACAGAAAAGTGAACTACGCTTATTTACGGCTACAATTCACATATTGACGATTGTAGGGGACGATTCCAGCGGTTCTCAATAAGTTTTAACAGTTTTGATTATTATAAATACTTATCATTTAAAAATAATCCTAAATATTTTTACTTCTATTTCGGTCCTAAAATATCTTGTATGTAGAGATTAATCAAATTTCGTGTAAGTAGATAGGCTATATTCATACGGTGACAAAATGCCATGCTTTTTCTTATGAAGGTTCATCCAGGTCCGGGATTTTGTCACCGTATGAACATAGCCTATCTACTCGTGAAATATATTTCATTGATAGTCTTTTTCATCATCTTTTCAACATGTTGCACAATATTAATGTGTTTTCTAATACCATATAAAAATTTTAATTACAAGCTATCACACTATTAGCAAACAAATAGTATATAATTTAATTTTTTATAAAAGTTGCAGAGAAGTCATAAGTCAGCCATGGATATAACAAATGTGTTTCGTCAAATAATCACTTCCATTCATTATCTTTGCAGAAGAGTTCTGTTGTTAGAAAAAAATTACTAATAACCGCCAATTACTATTTTTTTTATTTCGCGATTCAATTAACAAAAACATCACAATTGATTGTTTCAAGGTCCCTGCATGGTTTTTCAACGTACCGAGTAATCCGTAGCCCAAGCCAAAAGTATTCAATGCATTTTATCAATTTTACTAACAACAACAGTGAGTTCAATTAACATATTTTTTTAGTTATAAATTAAATATTACTGATTTGTATCTCCAAACAAAAAACGGTCCATAGGAAAGACTCGTCCTACTTTTTGATGTTCTCTGAATCTATCCCTTCAATTTATGGCACCTTTTTTCAAAGCACCCTGTAGGACTGCACTTATGAAAACGAGATGATTCTCCAGAAGCATTTGATACATCGTTAAGCTTGCATCACACCGCACAGACTCATAGCGATGTTGAAATCGAAAGCGCAGCCGTTTTGATTACGGAAAATTTCGACATCCGATCGAACTATGCCATTATAACAAAGCAAGTAATTTTTCTGATCGACAAGCCTTTATGGTATTTTATAAATAATATGGATTGGAATGCGAGGTCGATGACGAAGTAGCCGAGGTTTACACCGACACGGGACGCTGTACGCACAATTTTAACCATAATGCGCTACAAATTAATTTGAAATGGTGGTGGAGGATGTTAAATCGGACGATCCTATGTAGGGCAACCCAATAAAACGTTAGTGTACTTCGCGGTGTCGAAATGAGAAAGAATTTATACTCTTCTTTTCAATGTTATGGATTTACGGACTTAGTCATTATTTTTATATATTTTAAGCTTAACATTTTGATGTTGAAGATGAAGAACCCTCTGGCGCACCGAAACAGTTTGAAGATGAAGAACTGGAGGTATTACTTCATGAAGACTCATGTCAGAAGCTAGCTGAACTTAGAGAATCATTAGGAGTTGATCTCGCAATAGTTTCGAAACATTCGAAGCCATTAAGAATGGTTCAAAAGCAAGGACATTGGGTACAAAGGCCGTACCAAGCGGCAGCTATACGAGTAGAGACCCGACGAAGTGATCTTGCAGCAGGAATAGACCCACCCGCCATATTCACCAGGTATTGCCCTTCCGATTGTCACTTGTTCCTGGATGAGCAGCACTTCCATTCTTATGAAGATGCCAAAAATTGGGTCGACTCAAAAGACGTGACGTTTTTCCGATGGGGCACTAAAATGCTGTCAGAAAGATGGGAAAAAGTAGTAGCTAGCGATCGACAATACTTTGAATGGCATGTTTTTTCAACATCCCAATGGAATGTCGCCTAATGCTCAGCAAATATGCTTCAATTCACTTTTTTATTAATTAGCGTAAGTATATCTGATAAAGTTGTCCTTAAAAGGAAAATGCACCGATATCACATTATCTATACGACGATCTAAGACCGTCAAATAATTCCCATACTTAAAATAAAAAAGGACCTTATTCTTTTATTTTCTGTACCTTAAAAATTTGTATTCATCGTTACAGTCCCTTATATTAAAAAATGAGAACAAATTTTGCCGATGTTTCAATTTCCGGAATTCCTTAATTCGAATAAAAGATATGATTAATTTATTTGTATGCTCATTAGTACCTAACTGGGAATAATAACAGACGTAAAACTACGAGACACATGCAACTATATCTTTAGGATTGAATAGTTCTGTCACGTTTGTATTGAAAAATGCTTCCTGACCCCATTATACGGCTACTGCCTGTCTCTTTCATTCGTCTTGTAGTTACCACAGTAAATGGTGCGTGAGTGTCTACTTAAGATTTACTGTAACAGCGCGTATATATCAAACGTTATTAGAAGTTGATAATGCAATAATTTGCATATTAATAGATATATCTATAATGTTATGTAACAGTTCGTGAGAATTCGCCATTCTCTTGATATGTGTTAACTGTGACAGTGTGTTCATTTTTCACGATTTCTTCATTGCAGATTTAAACGAGTTTAATATATTCGTTAATTTACTCTGTTTTGAACTCATACTTTGGATACACCTCAAAGAGAGAGTGACTTTTTATAAAGATGTCAAATTTCTCAAATTGTTACTTAATACTTGGCCATCTAGGATTTTTTTTAAGTAAGTAATTAACTCGATTTTGTGAAAGTTGAATTCGATTTTTAGTGTCAAAAGATACGGCTTGAGGATCATTGAAAATTAGTCTGTACATAATTTTTTTTAAAACTATTAATATCAATTATTATTCGCCTTTCAAATTTAGAAATGCACAAATAACGAATATTAACATTGAATTGAGTGTGTGATTATGTTTATAGTGTTGCTCGCGATTTTCTGTACATTCGAAAGGTGCGTAAATTTTGAAAAACGTCGAAATATGCTTTTTTCTTATTCTAAAGAAAATAAAACATATATCTTTTGCCTAGATTTAACCTATACCTAGATTTTTGGTATTATTTGACATGATTTTTAGGATTTTTTTTTGAATTAATAAATAAAACTCCAAAAGTTAACATTTCAGTGGTTTTACATAGTAAATGCACATTTGCAATGGACAAATAACGAATATTAAAAGTGAAATGAGAAATGCGTTTTTAATTTTGTACAAATATGTGGTTTAAATAAAATGAAACACTTCCTACTAGTACGAAATGATTTTCAATGTGCTAAAACATTTTTATATTTCTTTTGGCGTATAGTCTAAAAATGCTTGTCTACTAAACATTTTTCTTCCTATTTTGGTATAATAGTTAGAGTTTAAAATTGGGGACCGCCTAGCCGGGTGTCTTGGCCGGTGGATTTCGATCTGACGAGGTAAGCATCACGGACGCAGGCTGGAATTTGGATGGGTGACCTAAGGCAGGCTCGGGGACGTGGCTGTGGCAGCCTACCAGAGACCTGGGTCGCTCAACATTTTCCGCATGCGTGTGATCCCCAATAAATGGTAATGAGAACAGAGCAAAGAAAATCTCTGTAACTCAAGACCATGCTATCATACATAAACTGTACGAGACTTTTCCATCAAGCCACCCGTGTAGTAAATAGGATGGTTTGAAGAAAAGTACTCGAGTAATGAACCTCCCTCCGACACACATACATACATACATAGAGTTTAAAGATTTTGAGTAACACCGGCAACATTGCCTAGATCACGTTCAGAATAGACAAAATATATTACGCATAAATATCAGAGCGAAATCGGCGGTTTCAATTAAAATTTGTCTATAAAGTTTCTACTAACAAATCACCCATCTTTAACCTTCACCCTGTATGATTGCCTGTTAATATTTTTATAAAGAATGGTTAGATATGCAGTGTGTTAACTTTTCATGTTAACTTTGGCCCAGTTTAGTCTTGTAGCACTTTGGAACTTGAATAAGGGACACCCTGTACTTTGTAAATTTGAATTGTTCTGTTTCTGTTCAGAAAACATATTCTGTATTTTTTACCTTCAAGGAATAAATGCACGTTTCGCTTTCCCGTATCATTTATTTTAGTTGCAACGATAATTTAAAGTCCCAGTTTATTGCTAATAAATTAAACTAGCATTATAATTTCAACTGTCTTAGATTTCTATGACACAAATAACATTTGAAAGTGCTACTAGAATGTCAGTAACCTTTGTATGGGATAATATAATTCATTAAACGTATAAGATCCACGAATAATGCCGGTATGAATTTATTAAATGAAAAATGCCAGTGGAGCGAATGCTTATTTTATTCTTGTGCAACATCTAGGGTTGGTATCATAATTTTAACGATGATATCATTGCAGGACGTCACCATAGCCGCTGACATGGTATCACGCCGCAAAATACTGTCGAGATCGAGGGATGAACTTAACATGGAGTCGACGTTTCAACCCCCTGAAGATGAAGAAGACGTTTGGTACCAAAAAGACAAATTGTACAAGGTATGTAGGTTATTGGTCTCGCGAATCATTAATATTGATTGCTTTGAGATTTAGGAATTTGGCTGGGCAGTTTTAAACGTAACACTCTGTATAAAGCCAACTTGTTTGAAAATGAACTGTCACAAATGCAGTGTGGATGTTGATTGGAAACTGCTTCTGCCAAAGCTAAATAACATCTCGTGAGAACTTTTCTTTTAATAATAGTATCGTCTTCTTTGGAGTTAATGGACTGATTTATCGTTTGTCAATCAAATTTCGGTTTGAACCTGTTGCGATAATGGCTTCTATCAGTGGCTTCTTGTGCAACGTGCATTACGCTGCATATAAAAGTCATTAGTCAGTTACTACAGCTATTAGCTGTAGTTAAATGAAATCGTATAGATTGTTTGGGCGTTAAATATGTCTTTATCCTACTTAGCATGACATTATACTCACATTAATTTATATACAGGGTGTTTTTTAAGTTGGGCTTCTACCCGAGAGAGCTCGGCAAAAAAGAATTTTCAAATAACATCCTTTCGAAATAGAAAATTTAAATAATTTGAAAACATTCCTGTGAAAGAAAATAGTTTTAGACCAGGGCGGATCTGTTGAAATATCCCACTTCTTGTAAGATGTAAGAGGGAGCAAGCAAATTTTTTCTGGAATACCTTCAATACAACTTACGTAATAAAAGTGTAGATCCCTAGATCTGGACGAGGTCCGGAACATTTTCGAAACTGCAAAAATGTTTAAAAAATTTAAAAAAATACCTATTTTATCTGAGTTTTTTACTTATATCTTGGAATCTATGCATTTTGGAAGAATATTGTAGAGGAAAAGAGAATTGAATTTTGCACAATATACTGTAAGTTAAAAATGTTTAAATTTATTACCGATGTTGCAAAATAGCAATAATTGATGAAAAAAAGGCAAGGTTTTTTTAATATTGTTTCAAAAATATTTTAATTACTCCGAGGGCATAATTTTGTTAAAAAAAACTTCAGAGTATAATAAAACATCACACCAAATTTCATTAAAATCGGTTCTATAGTTTTCGCAAAATAATTTTTTTTTTAATTTTCGAATTTTCAAAATGTTGCACAACCTCAAATAAAGATAGATACTTGAAAAAAATTTTTCACATAGAAAAAACCGCTTAACCTTTCAAATGGTTTTTGAAAACTTGAATTCGGTTGATTAGGACCGCCACAGTAAATTTTTAAAGTCAACACTCTTTTTTTTATTTTTAAACAATTAGATTACATTTATCACTTTGCAATTTAGTTATTATCAAAAATGATAATTTTAAAGTACTCGGAAGGACGCTTCTTTTTTTTAAAAAAAGTTAAATTCCGTTTATTGGTTCTCGAGATTTTCTAGGCTATAAAACCTAGTAAACTTTTCATGAAGTTCATCGTGTCGGAAATCCTGTTCAGGATAAAAACCGTCACTTTTAAAAATTTTAAAAATCAAATATTTCAAAGATCAAAATCAAAGATCTCTAAGGTCCACACGCGAAATATGATATGCAATTGCATTATTTTTTAGGAAAATACACGATATTTACCACTCACTAATCAACTTAAGATTTCTTTGTAGTTAGATTGCCTTGTGTACTGTCATTAATAAAAAAAAGAATAGTAAATGTCCTAACGCTGAACCTTGTGGCATACCTGATGTTACAGTTTATAGAGATGATCTAGAATAATAAATTTCGACATAGTGGATACGGCAGTTGAGATAAGGCTGAAATAATGTTACTAGATCGTTAGAGAAGCCAACATTTTTCAACTTATTGACCAAAAGAAGGTGATCTAAAGCTTTACGAAATGAACATTACAATTTCTATGTAAAAAATACACAAAATTATTTTAATAGATTATGAAGTAGTAAAAATCGTAAAATTTTCATTTTGAGAGTAGGTTGATCACCGCTCAAAATGTTAATAAGGAATTCCTATGCAAATAAAAGTTTATGTCGTATAAGTTAGAATGTAGTTGTTTATTAAAATAGTGTAAAAAATGCTGGCGTTAGGGAAGTCGTAAATTTAATGTGAGGCGAAATCATTTAAATGTATTGAATATATCGATACGTGTGGGTGCCTTTTATTTACAAGAGGTAACTGAACCCGCTAGATTCGCAAATATTGCAGTCAGGTTTTTCAGGACCTGGACACAGGACCATGTATGTATGCATATTTTTAGAGGTAAGAAGTGACGTAGGGGCCGTTCGAGCTTGGAGTATTGAACCGAGATAAACAAAGTATTTCATTCGTTCCAAAAGGCGCATCAGAATTCGCGTTACAATGTAAGTTTTTCACGTTTGACTGTTTATGCAAAATCCTATTCAATTTATTCCAAGGGGCTGCATTGTGTGTGAATTTATACTCTAGAATATTAAGCGATGCTATAAATGCGATAGCATTCATATTTGATTGATTCATGATGGGCATTCCGCAAAAAAACACGCGAGATAGGCGATTGATAGCGCATATGAATTATGATGAATGCGGACAATTGATGCGAAACAGAAGGTGCAAATAAAACAAGTAAAATAGGTGTTAAATATCAAACTACAATCTTATTGTCTGAATGTTCAATATGGTTTTTCAACAATGTTAAACATTTTTACACCAAATCCTATTAATATACATATTTCTGTATTTATTTTTCACCTGATGTCAAAAAAATGGGATTGGAGAAAGTTATTCAGAATTAAAATTTACTCACAGACCAATTTTTAAAATGATCAGCCTTCTTTGATAATTTTTAAATAGATAAATCATTGCAAAATTAAAAATGGAGACATAAACATAAATTTTAATATTAAACCGATAAATTTATTAATAATTTTTTACACAAAAATGGAATTTTATGTACAGGGTGATTCACTACATTTTGACCCCCCTGTAACTGTTTTGTTTTAGGAGTTATAAAAATATGTGAAATACAAAACTTGCACGATTTTTTATGGAGTTTTCGAAAATGATAGTAGAAAAACAAATGAAGTCCAAACAAAATGGCTGCGGATGCTAACTTGGTTAATTTAAATGGAACACCCTGTATATTTTTACATATTTGGATAGAACGTTCCCTATCGAGCATACTCATATAGGGTTTGTTGGGTCCATCTCTAACAATAAGCGAGATAATATTAAAAAACGAAAAGAAGGTTTTTTTATTAAGAAAATAAGGCACCTTGTAATTGTTAGACCTCAATAAAGGTTTGCAGTGAATCCATTGAGTGAAATTATTGAGTACATTTTCACTCAATATTGGGCATTTTTAATCATTCCACTCATTTGTGATTATATTTAAATAAAACTGAGTACTTTCACTCAAATATAAGTACTCCTTAAATAAATTCTTCACATAAACTCGTATTTGGTGCTCTTGTACCTAAATCAGAGTAAATTTCCTCATTACTGAGTAAGTTTAAATGTATATTAATTTCGAGTAATTTAAATGGCGCCGTGAAGATGGCACCACTTACATATTGCTCCTGGAATCTCGACAACAGTTGATAGGGGCCCGTTAGATGCTCCAGAAAAGTGTGATCGACTTAGCCGGTGGCGGCGGGTCTCAGCCAGGACAGGAGGAGGCCCCGCGAAGTGAATTGATTTCAACACTGTATATCCTTAATCATTTATGAGTGATTTATTTTTTCACTCAATATTTGGTTAATTAAAAACCAAGTCTGAGTAAAAAATGACTCAATAATTAGTTAAGTCAATTCTAAATTGGTTTTATTTACTCAGAATAGAGTCAAAAGTCGCTCAATTGATAATTAGCACTAACTCGGATTTGAGTAAAATTCACTCATTTCTGATGCAATAGTTTCACTCAGTTGTACCCATACTAATAGAGTGAAAATTTCACTCAATCGGGTGTGGACAGAAATTGATACATTGAGTGAAATTGAGTAAAATTTAAGTGAAATTTTTTTACAGTGTACATTGACAATGAATTCATGAATAAATTCACAGAAGTTCTTCATGAATTAATTCACGAATTTATTCATAAAGGGTTTGGTTTTACACTACTTCAGTTCTGCCAACAAGTCAAAGAACCAAATAAATTTCAAATTTCATTAAAAAAAAAGTCGTACCTTTCCACATAGAACGACAGCGGTATCGTTTTGACACTTCTCAGAAATATAAGTTTTTGTAAGCAACAAGCCAGTAAAAACAATACAGAAGTAGTACGACACCACGTAAATAACGTAACCTCACGAGTGATCTGAGGCTGAAGATTTATTGGGTTGGTACTTCTGAACTTCACGAAGAAATTCACGAAAATTAGAACATGTTCTAAGTACTTCATGAATACATTCGTGAAGTTATTTGGTGCAATACATTTGTCCAATTTCTATGAAACTAGCTAGCTATGAAACATTTCCAATATTTTCACATTGCACGTAAAATAATTCTATTCAATAAACATCCTTACTGGAGATATATTTCATTTTATACACAGCCGTAATATTATTTTTCGGAAAGGTGGCACGGCTACGCCACTGGTACGAATTTTTTTCCACCGTTGAAGATTTCAATTATCGTACTTCTCACCATGTGTCGCCGCACCATTACACGGCTTTGTGTAAGAGAGAAAAACGAATAAACTAATGGGTAATAGCTTCTTTTCATTCAAGGTTACTTTGTCGTGGAAGACGTTTGAACTGTGGGGGGCAATACCTACATTCAATTACACAGGGGAATTACGTAACGTACAATTTCCATTCGAAATCCAATACAGGTAACTACTGTGACGGTCGTAAAAATGGCTGGTAATTGTCGGATTAAAACGATTTTGTAGATTACCATAATGCCCGATCTGTAGCAAAGCAATTGTAATTTACCACCAACGTTTTTATCTGTACCAAGAATTCAATCATCTGTATTATGTTAATGCTATGGGGGTGTGTGGTCAGTTCTCTCCTGCATATGATTAGCAGAATTCGTTCAATCGAGGTTCACCGCATGGCTTGTGATCATCAGTTTTGGATCTTTAGCGAAATCA